ACACAGCGCTGGAGGGGCTCACTCACCTATGCCAAGAAATTTGGAAGACAGCTACCAGGCCAACCGACTGGAAAAGATTTGTATTTGTGTCCATTCCAAAGAAAGGTGATCCAACAGAATGCAGAAATTATCATACAATGTCATTAATATCACACATAAGTAAAATTCTGCTGAAGATAATTAAAAAGCGATTGCAGCAGTACATCAATAGGGAACTGGCAGAAATTCAAGCCAGATTCAGTTGAGAGGACATGACATGAGGGATATCATTGCTGATGTCAGATGGATCTTGGCTGAAAGCAGAGAATACCAGAAAGATGTTTACCTGTGTTTTATTGACTATGCAAAGGCATTTGACTGTGTGGATCATAACAAATTATGGATAACATCACAAAGAATGAGAATTCCACATCACTTAATTGTGCTCATGAGGAACCTGTACACAGACCAATAGGCAGTCGTTTGAACAGAACAAAGGGATACTGCACGGTTTAAAGTCAGGAAAGGTGTGCATCAGAGTTGTATCCTTTCACCATACTTACTCAGTCTGTATGCTCAGCAAATTAGAGAAGCTGTACTATATAAAGAAAAATGTGGCATCAGGATTGGAGAAGACTCATTAACAACCTGGGATACCCAGATGACACAACCTTGCTTGCCGAAAGTGGAGAGGCCTTGAAGCACTTACTGATGAAGATCAAAGACTACAGCCTTCAGTATGGATTACACCTCAACATAAAGAAAGCAAAAATCCTCACAACTGAACCAATAAACAACATCATCATAAACAGAGAAAATACTGAAGTTTTCAAGGATTTGATTTTACTTGGATCCACAATCAACACCCATGGAAGCAGCAGTCAAGAAATCAAACAACGCATTGCACTGGGCAAATCTGCTGCAAAAGACCTCTTTAAATGTTGAAAAGCAAAGATGTCACTTTGAGGACTATGGTGTGCCTGACCTAAGCCATGGTGTTTTCAATCACCTCATATGCATGTGAAAGCTGGACTATGAATAAGGGAGACCGAAGAAGAATTGATGCCTTTGAATCATGATGTTGGCGAAGAATATTGAATATACCATGGACAGCCAGAAGAATTAACAAGTCTGTCTTGAAAGATGTATTCCTTGGAAGCGAGGATGGCGAGACTTTGTCTTACACACTTTGGACATGTTATCAGGAGGAACCAGTCCCTGGACAAGGATATCATGCTTGGCAAAACAGAGGATCAGCGAAAAAGAGGAAGACCACCAACGAAATGGATTGACACAGTGGCTGCAACGACGAGCTCAAACATAGTGAGGATGGCTCAGGATTGAGCAGTGTTTCGTTCTATTGTTCATAGGGTGGGAACCGACTTGACTGCACAACATGTGCGCAGTACTGGGTTTAACCCTGGAAATACAAAGGGGAGTAAAAACAGATGTGGTCCTGTTTTCCTGAACTAAGTCAACACAATCTGTTGATAATCTTGGTATTAAAAGTCCTCTCCAAGATATTTTCCCACTGTCTCTCTTACCTCCCAACAAATATCACCTCCCTGGGGTCACAGGGACAAAATAGAGAAGACAGAACAAGACTGTGGCTTATAGATTCTTAGAGGACTTTACCAACCTCATGAGCACCATGGGAGCAGGGGCTGGACTGGGATGTTGCAAGCTCTGTGCAAAACAGCATTAAACTGTTACAAAACTTTCTGCGTTGCAACATCGTTATTTCCTTCCTATTACAGTAACTACCCACACCCATAATAATATCTATTACTTCTGTGAGCCTGGCTAATTACTTTGATTTCAGAGCTGCAGTGTCCTCACTTTAAATACGTGGTTAGAAATCTCTGCCTTCTCATAAGGCTATTAAGATGATCAAACAAGATAAAGCTATAGAAAAAAGCTTTATAGAACTATAATGTACAACACAAATGTATAATGTTATTAATCTTTTATCAAATAAATCAATAAATAAACCATGTAGCCATTATTTACATCATAAGCATGCATTCAGTGACTCTGAAATATCCTGGTTTGGATGAATAGGAGACCAGACATATACCAGCACTACGCACTAGAAATGTAATGTGAGCCACGAATAGGAACCACATGTGTAATTTAAAATTTTCTAGTTGTTACATTAAATAAGATAAAAAGAAACAGCTAAAATTAATTTAAATAATATATATTTTAACCCACCATATCCAAAATAAGGAACTCTGGTGTTGCAATCGTTAAGCGCTCAGCTACTAACAGAAAGGTTGGCAGTTTGAACCACCAGCTGCTCCATGGGAGAAAGATGCAGTAGTCTGCTTCCATAAAGACTAACAGCCTTGGAAACCCTTTGGGGCAATTCTACTCTGTCCTATGGGATCGCTATGAGTTGGAATTGACTTGACAGCAATGAGTTTTATACCCAAAATATTATCATTTCAACATGTGATTCATATAAAAATTATTAACAAGGTATTTTACATTTTTTCTTGGGTACTAAGTTTTTGAAATCATGTGTTTTACACTTACAGCACATGTCAATTTGGACTAGCCATATTTCAAGTCCTCAGTAGTCACATGTGGCTAGTGGTCACTGTGTTGCACAGCACACACGGAATTAGTGATGTAAACAAAAATTAGTTAAGATCTGTATAATAATTTACAGTTTCCAAAGCTCTTTGACATTTAAATCTCATGTTAGCTCTGGTAGGTAGACGCTTATTTCTATTTTGCAGATGAGAAGCAGCAGCAGCAAGTATGTGTAATTCCCTCAATGTCATTCAGCTAGTAAATGGTGAACTCAATTCTTGTCTTCAAGCTTGGGCATTCTCCCTTTTATTTTCTTTTGTAAACAAGCAATGCAAAGACAAACTTGAATATTATAACACACACAGGTCTCAAGGTTCACCGCCCTAGTGCAAGAGAAAATGAAAACAAAAACACGGTTCTTTCAAAATACACCTACAATATCTCCTTCAAAAAGCCTTCCCAGTTTAATCCATTATTCTAAAAATATGTGTTGGATGAAATACCTTCGACTTCTGGAAGTGCTACGAATGTAAGCACTACAGGTGGACACAGAAAAATCCTATCCCTCTCTCCTATATTCTCTATCATGTAGTGGTTTGCTTTTTAATTACTCTTTAAAGAGTTACAATGTAGTGTTTCAGCATCCCAGATAAGAACTTAGGAGGTAAAGACTCCTCTCTTCTAGCTTTAGAAAGGACACGTATGCCAAATGTTCACAACAAAGCCTAACCAGACCCAGCTGGCCATCGGGGAATGGTCCAAGATCTCTCTACGAGATGAGAATTCACATCATTGTGGGGACAGGCTAGCTGGAGAGCTGCACTTTGAAGAACCAGTCACTAGGCTGGTGCAGCTGACCGCCCTTCTGGCCCAGGTAGCTGTCTGTCCCAGGCCGAGAGCTGCCAGCAGGAGCCTGCAGAGACCTGCAGGGATCACAGCCTGTCTCCTAGACCTGGCCACTATTTTCCCTTTCACTCTCCTTTTCCCTCTCCCAACCCCATGTAAAGAACGGGGTTTTAAGGATTAAAACTGTCCTCCACCCCACACGCGTTAAGTATGTAATTCGAGCCCCTATACCTGTGGATAAGGAGACCCGGTGACGCAGTGGTTGAAACAGCTTGGCTACTAACCAAAAGCTCAGCAGTTCGAATCCACCCGGTATCAGGGAGAAAGAAGTGGCAGTTTGCTTGATAAAGATTTACAGCTTTGGAAACCCTCTGGGGCAGTTTTACTCTGTCTTATAAGGTCACACTATGAACCCGAATCCACTCCACAGCAGTGGGTTTGGTTTTGCTGGTTTATTCCTGTGGATGTAATCCTGTTCGGAAAAAGTACTTGTTATGTTAATTAGACGATACCCCCAGTAGGGTGAGTTCTAATCACTTCTGAGTAATAAAAAGAGCAGATTACCAGACACAGAAGCATGCACCCAAGGGAGAAGACAGAGTCATGCGAGGATTGTCCACAAGCCAAGGAACCAAGGAATACCGGCAGGTGCTACTGACAAGGAAAGAATCTACACTGCCAAGATCTTGATTTCTTTGAGCTTCCAAAACTGTGAGAAGATAAATTTCTGTTCTTTAAAGCCACCAACTTGTGGTATTTGTGTTACTGTACCACCCAGTAACTGAGATGGGGTGATGGCCCGACGGCAATAAAGGGTTTGCAAAACCTTATCTACTATAGTTTAACAGTAGTCCCAGCACATACCCTCCACCAAGTAGGCTGGCGGCTAGTAAATGCTGAACGCTCCCTTCTCAAGGCTGCTGCAAGGACGGCCTCAAGGACTTTTCTCGCCTTCCAACAGACTTCTATGTATTTCTTGGTGCATATATTCACTTGGGTGCAGCGCGAAAACCTACGCGGGTGTTTGTGTATGACGTGTCACTCTTGCCATCGCCATGTAGATGTTGGGTGAAACGTTATAATAATTTTTCTAAGAGGCTCAACGTCGCCTTGGTTTGTGTCGGCTCACGGAACGCACATCTCTGTGGAAAGCAGTCCGCGCATCACCGTGTGCGTCACCGGCCGTCTACGTGGACCACGAGCAGTGCGCACGCGCCAGGCTTGACCACCGCAACTTCCGAGCGCTGAGGGGGCGGGCAGGACAGTGACGTACCCAGCGGGTCCGATCAAGACACCCTTTTCTGGTTCCTCCGCGTGGATACTGGTAGCCATCTCCGGAAGCAGAATCGAGAGTGAGGGGAGGGACTGGCTGGAGTTCGCAGGAGCTGCTGCGGATTGCTCCCACCCAGTCTGGAGGATTCATCTGGCCCAGTCAGGGTCTGAGGCAACTGGCTGCTGGCGGGGCGACGCCCCGCGCACGCGCAGTGCGAGTCAGCTGATCTGCCCCGGCGGTCATGTGATGAGGGGCGGTGCCGAAAGGGCTACAGGCAGGGTAGCGGAAGGGAAGCAAACGGCGGCTTCAGCGGCGGTGGTAGCAGCAGTATGGCTGTCCTCTACGGGGGTGTAGAGGGGTGAGTGTGGCCGACGGAGAGAGCCCGGGAGGGTCGGCCTGCAAGGGGCCTGGGCCACCCCGGGCCTGAGGGCGGGTTAGAAGGCCGTGGCCAGGCCGGCCGGCAAGTGGCCTCGGGCCTGAAGATACCGCTGGTTTGGGCTTTTGGGCTGCGGAGCCTTCGAGAGGAGGGGTATGAGCACGCGCAAGAGTGCCTTTGCGTGCGGGCGTGCGCCTTGCAGGGGCTCTGCGCGTGCCACGGCCACACCCCTGGGGGCGTCCTTTGTGTTTCATGGCGGAACCATGCCCCTTTTTCCCACGAACGATCCTCTCCTGTGTCTCTCGCAGGAGAAGCTCCATTGCCCTGTACCTGACCCCAGAAAGATTTTTGCAGAACAGGTGTCAGATGTGAAGTTGCTGGGCAGGGAGTGGGGATGGGGTAGAAGCCGGGACAAAGATTTTGCTGGAGGGTAACTGGGAGCTGGAGCAGCTGCAAGCCAGAATGCGTTTGTCTGCTCTGATGGTGGAATGCCCACCCCACTCCACCCCCGGCACTCCAGGCTCTTCACACCAAATGGAACGTTTTGTTTTTCTTCCATTTTTTCTGTTCAGAAGCTTGTGTACTTCTTTCAATAGCTCTGCCTCTCAGTATGACTATGGGCAAGACTTCTGATCCATGTGGACATCAGTTTTCACATGTGTAAAACGAAGGGAGGGGTGAACAAGATGATCGCCAAGTCCCCTGCCAGTGACACATTCTCGGAATCTGGATGTGTCACATCAGGGCATGACAAGAGGGTGGCTGTCGCTCTCAGCCAGGGCACTGTACTTTCCAATCTGAGATTGTATTCACTTCTCTGGCAACCACTGCTGACTCATGTACCCCAAACTAATTGTTTATTGCTGTTAAAAGTTGATAGATACACCTATTGATATACCTATTGCAGTTTTTTTTTTTTTTTTTAAATATAAGTACAGGAGCGTGCACCCATCCCTAGTACATTCATCTGTGAGCTCTGACCCATTTTTCCAGCTTTCAGTGAGATTCTTTTGGATGTTGAATTTGCCACTTCAGGTATTAACTTCCCCTCGAAACTTAATGTCATTTGAGTTTGAACACTAGGTTGTCAGTGTCCTCTTCTAAGACATTCCTAAAAGTGCTGATCAAATAAAAAACTACATCACACCTTCCAAACTACCATTTGTCCCAGTATTTGAGGGGTTAGTTGCTTAAGTAGGTATAAACTCACCCAGTTGTCCTGACTCTGGTCAGCTTTCATAGGGTTATTTTGAAGATCTTCGCAGCTGGAGCTGGACCTTGAAAGGCAGCCTTTAGCTGTTGTGAAAAAAGGAAAGATAAATGACATTCTCTTTAGCCACATTTGCTAAGTGTTGGCCTGTGCCAGGTTCTGGGATAGGCATGAAGGTGGAAGGATGGTCCAGAGCTTGACTCAATGGAGTTCATAGTCTAGTGACAGGCAGACAGAAAAACAACCAATTACACTCCTAATACAGAGGAATTCTGAAGAGCTATGGGACACTGAGAAGCCTTAACTAATGGCGCTGTGGGGGTAGGAAGCTTTTGAGAGCTAGGGTCTTGAGGGGTAAGTAGGACTTCCTCAGGGGAAGATGAGCAAGAACTATGTTTCAGTCCAACAGCAGAACAACAAACATCAAACCACAGAGGTGGGTTTGGGAATGGTTATTGGATTTACTGAAGCCGACTCCTCCATCACACTGGGTTATGAGACAAGGGCTGCATGAGCTTGGCTGTGTCTCTGCAGGCTTTTCTGAGCAGGACTGAGTGCCCCCTTGTGTTCTGTAGGGGAGGCACGCGGTCCAAGGTCCTTTTACTCTCTGAGGATGGGCAAATCCTGGCAGAAGCAGATGGACTCAGCACAAACCACTGGGTAAAGGCCGCACTGAGGGGACCAGTGAGCTTGGATGTGGTTTTATTCTCTGTTACCCTGGTTGAGGTAGTGGTTGGGGCTTATAGAGCAGCCTTCAGGGGCAACATAGGTCTTGCAAGCCTTTGTAACTCTTTCTTCCCTTAATTGGGGCCAGCTGATCGGGACAGACAAGTGTGTGGAGAGGATCAACGAGATGGTGAACAGGGCCAAGCAGAAAGCAGGGGTGGATCCTCTGGTACCTCTACGCAGCTTGGTGAGTCTGGGGCAGAGCCTGGGAGTTCAGTCATCAGTGACACTGAGACAGGTGGCAAGTTTGGATTAAAGTACAGCAGCTGTAGAGGGAGCAGCCTCTAAGGCTTAGTCCCTGCTCTAGAAGCTCACACATGAACTTACCCATTCTTGTGGCTTCAGTTGCCACCTGCGAGCCACAAGTGGGTTGGAACAGCACAGGGCTTTGGAGAGCCATTGAGACCTTGGTTTTAATCCCAGCTTTGCCACTTACTGTCTTTGTGACCCTAAGCAGGTTACTTACTTTCTCTAAGCCTCAGTTTTCTCATTTGGAAAATGAGGATAGTAACAGTAGCTAGCTACCTCCGTTTAGGAAGTCAAATGATATACATCTTAAAGTGGTTAGCGTAGAGCCTCACCCATAGGCACTCATTTAATGCTCGCTAGTATTAGTCCCAGCTCAGCTCTTTTCTCCCAAGTCATTGTAGCTTCAACTACACCCCAGACATATCCCCAGGGAGATGTTCTGCAGGCATAGCCAGCCCTCTGTATTCCGAACCGAGCTCATCTCTCCATCTCCCCTCAATGTGCTTCTCTGGCTGAGTTTTCTGTTAAGGCACTGCTATCCTTCCAAGCTCCATACCTGACATCGTTGAATCTTCCTTTGTCCATCCCCAGTCCAGGCCGTTCTCTCAGCCATAGCCTTCTGAGGGGTCATTGTGTGGGGTGGAAGGAGGACTGGGGCTGGATAAGCAGGGTAAGCCCAGATATGGAGAGCAGGGGGTAGACATCAGGAGGGGAGGGGGCTGAGAAAGGAGCTGGGTCTGGGGCCCTACTCGCTCGCTCGCTCACCTCCCGCGTGGCCTAGGGCCTATCCCTGAGCGGTGGGGAGCAGGAGGACGCAGTGAGGATCCTGATGGAGGAGCTGAGGGACCGATTTCCCTACCTGAGTGAAAGCTACTTAATCACCACCGACGCCGCCGGCTCCATCGCCACAGCTACGCCGGACGGTGAGGAGGTGGAGGGAGGGGCAAGGTTGAGAACTGGTTTCCTTGGGAAAGCCCCTTAGATGTAGCTAGTAAAACTTGTCTTCCAGGTAGCTGGAAGGCAGCCTCCATCATATTCTCCCCTTGACATTTCTTTCTTAGATTAAGTGTTCTGGAGCTAGGACTGGCAAAAGGAGGGAGGGAAGGAAGGGTATTTTGATGGGAAGCAAGTAGTGGAACTTGCAGACGTAGGGGCAGAAGGGAGCCTCTGGTGGTAGTGGAGTGATGAAGACAGGCTGGGGAAGGCAGTCAGTTCCTAGAATAAAAGTGAGAGGAGCTCTGTCACAGCATTGGTACTGTGAGATTGACATTTGAGTCCCAGTTCCCGTTTAGCAGCTGTATCATCTTGAAGAAGTTACTTAACTCTGAGTTTCAGTTTCCTCACTGTAAAATGGGGCTAGTTGTGTTCATGAGATGGTTCAGGGTATTGAGTGAGCATCCATAAGGGAACTGGGTCTAGCACAATCCCTGGCACACAATAAGTACTCAGTAAAAAGCAAGTAGAGTCGTCATTTGAAAGCTGGCTGGGCGAGGAGCCACATTTCCTCAAGGCACAGACCTGTTCTTTTTTGTCCCCCAGAGAAGGGTTCTACATGATTGGCGTTTCTCTGAGACCTAGGCCCTCCCGGCCTTCTACCTTGAGGCAGGAAACTATCTGGGCTCAGTTGCCTCTACGTGAGTGGGTGGGGATCCCTTTCCCAGGGCTGTTTTCTGTCCTACCCTCAGTGCGAGGCTGTGTGCCCTTTTCAGGCCTGGCCACACTGAACCTCCTGTGCCCTCTCTCTAGGTGGGATTGTGCTCATCTCTGGGACAGGCTCCAACTGCAGGCTCATCAACCCCGATGGCTCTGAGAGCGGCTGTGGTGGCTGGGGCCACATGATGGGGGATGAGGGCTCAGGTGAGCTCACACTGCCTAGACCTGGCTGAGGGTCCTGGACCTTTGTTTTCCTTTCCTCTGCCCTCGGCCTGCTGAACCCTTGGGGCTCTCTGGGGGACAGCTCCAGAACCTGACAGTTCTGAGTCCAGGATAATGACTGGGAGACCATAAATATGCGAATGTTGGACTGACTGCTGCCCGTTCTCCAGCAGTGACTTGCATCTAGGATTCAGGTTTTCATGCCTCAGCGCAGCAGCCATTGCCTACATGTGTTGGACTTTTGGAGTCCTTAGGGAAGAGTTGAAACTAAGATCACAGATGGCAGGTTATGTTGTACCAGTCTGTTAGTGGGGGTATAGAAGCTCCTCCCACCCTCACCTCTTTATAGGACCCCATGTGTGCAGAGTAAAACTGCTCCAGACGGTTTTCAAGGCTGTGACGTTTCAGAAGCAGATCTCCAGGTCTGTCTTCCAAGGTGCTTCTGGGTGGGTTTGAACCACCAACCTTTTGGCTAGTAGTTGAGCACTTAACTCTTTGTGCCACTGAGACCCAATTCTTTATAGATAGCATGTGTATAATTTCATGGGGGTCCTTGGGGTCCAGCTCTTAGCAGTGACTCCAGTGGTTTGTGTGGCAGCTCACTGACCTTGTCTTCATCTTGAGGGAGGTGCTAGTGTGACAGCCCTACCTATTCTGTCTTCCCCTCTAGCTTTCCCTTATCTGAGTCAGTCAGATACAGTTTGATTAGAGCCGTGTCGTCCGTCCCCCCCCCCCCCGCCCCGGCTGGAAGTCAACAAAGCTAATTTGCTGTAAAACTCAGGTAGATCACTAGCCTTGCCTGGATGTGAGCTTGGGGAGATTGCCCCCCATCTTCTTAGCCCTTTCTGCTCTCCACAGCCTACTGGATTGCACACCAAGCAGTGAAGATAGTGTTTGACTCCATTGACAACCTAGAGGCAGCACCACATGACATTGGCTACGTCAAACAGGCCATGTTCAGCTATTTCCAGGTATGCTCCCTGCCTCCAGTAGACATGCACCCCTGGGGTAGGGCAGCAGGAGACTGAGCAGGAATGGATGCAGGAGAGGGATGGGTGGGTAAAGGGATGTTGGGGGAGGGGCGATTGGAGCTGGGGGTTGGAGAGGTCATAGGTGAGGATTTAGAATGACACGGGCAGTGTGTTCCAGGAAGGTGCCAGGCAAGAGGAAGGGGTGAGTTGGGGATGAGTGGTTAGCCAGAGTTTATTCTTGGTCAGCTGACTCCCCTGGGAGGTGAAGGCAGATGGTGTTCTAGGCTGGGATGAAAAGTGCAGGGTGAGGTCAGGAGACCGGGCAGCAGGACAGACAGCAGGTAAAGTTGGAACAAATGTGTTAACAGTAGTCGATTCTGGCTTGTATGGGTTATGAAGGAGAGCCCATTAAGAGGTGGGAAGGGACAGTTTCTACCCGGAGTGTTGGGGATTCAATTTCCTCCTGTCTCTTTTGTTCTTTGTAGTGGGTTAGGAAACAATTTGAGCTGAACCAGAGGTAAAAGGTCGGAGGGGTGGAAAGAAGGATGAGACATTTGTTTGATAGACCCTCTCTCTGTGAGGGCCAGTTAGTCTTGCTGCCACCCACTTAGGTGAGCTGGGAGTGGGGTCAGAAGGGAGATTAGAGATGCTGGAAAGTAGAACCTGTATTCTCAGGGCTCAGGGATTGGTGATTAAAGAGGAACAATGGCCTGGGCCAAGGAGAGAAATAGTGAGGGGCCTGGAAGAGGAATCACTTCCTATAGGAAGGAGAGTAAAACTATCCTTACTCAGCAAATCGGTTCTAAACTCCACTAACATGTCTACCACTCCCTCTTTTATTTTTCAATCTACTTTGCAACCTCTAGAGTTATCTTCCAGATTAAACGAGATAATGTGTATAAAACACTTATTAGTACATTGCTGTAGGTGCTCTAATATTAGCCTCTGCTTCCATTTGCTAAAATGTTTTCTGGGGGACCACTGGTTCTGCAGGACCTGAAGAGGTGTTAGGGGTGTGTAGGTTTGTTGGGGTGGACAGAGCTGGTCTCCTATGGTCAAATAAGATTGGGAGAAACAAAGTTAAATAGATTTCTTGGTGGCAGGACTTCTCAGAGCGTGTAGTTTGCTACTGTGCATTGTGACTCTCCAAGGGGGAGTGGCAGTGTGCAGTGTTCCTCAAACTCCTTCGGTCAAAGAAATCTTTCCAGGCACACCTCAAAGAATACACCTTGGGGAAGGTAGATCTGTACCTGTGCTGCCTCCAAGGTAATCGGTAAGGAGCAGTGGAGTTCACGTTGGAGAAAAGAAACAAGATTTCAAAGAAGAAATCGAAAATTCTTGCACTTTCTAGATTTAACAAAAACTATTCTAGCTTTTCCAGTAGTACAGATAGGAAAGGCCACTTGGGTGGGCAGTCTGGAGTTTCTCTCTTGCTTCTGATGACTATCTGCATATGCTCTCTCTCTCTCAGGTGCCAGATCGGCTAGGAATCCTCACCCACCTGTATAGGGACTTTGATAAATGCAGGTTTGCTGGGTTTTGCCGGAAAATTGCAGAAGGTACTGGAGGTGGGGCAAGGTTTTATCTGGCTTGGTTCCCCAGAGACCTCCCTAATTGGAGGGTGGAGTGGGGTTTGGACGAGGACTGGAAGCCAAGCTCCCTTTGACCAAGTGCCCTCAGTGCCGTGGGCCTTGGTGGTGGTAGGCCTCACTGGACAGAAGGGCACGCGGGTTATATTAATTGTTTCCTATTACCTGTGTTTCTCTTGACAGCTGTCATGGTTTTGTAGGTTGTAAGCCTCTTTTTGAGAAATTCATGAAGCAGTTGTTCTTTGGACAATGTATAATTTTTTTTTAAACCTGTTATACCCAAAGAACTAGGGGATTATGGAGAGGTTGCACTTACTTTGTTGGGAGTCAGAAGCAGAACGTAGGGTTTGCTCTCTGCATATGGGTCTTTCCCCACTGTAAGGTCCATACTCCCTTCATTTGGATTCCCACAGCCTCAGCGTTCATTCTAGCGCTGTCAGAGCCCACTGGACTGAGGCCCTCCAGAGCCGGGCCTGTTCTTGTCCCTTCTGTGGTAGAGCCAGCAAGGGGCTACCAACAGTGGACTTGTAGGTGGGTGCGAGGCACCAGCAGGAGTACCAGTTAGCTGCTCAGGGAGGGCCCCAGGGCCCCAGCGCTGAGGGACCCTGAGGGACAGACTCACGGTAGCTCTGTGTAAGCTGGAGTACAAACCAGGGGCCGCTGTGCTCCTCTAGTGGGGGTCGCCCTTCCAGTGCCTGGAATGAAGCCCCTTCTAGGTTGGGGGCGGGGACGGGGAGAGTGGTACATGAGAGGCTCGCTTGCTTCCATGCCATGTTGTGGGTATCCATTCCTGATTTAGGCCTCCACTAGCCAGAGGTGTTCCACTGTGGCTGCCTTTCATCAAAAGGAGGGAGTAACTGAGGGCTGGCAGCTCCCTAGGTATTCACCAGCTCCCCCTCATCTTCCTCCCCACCCCAGGTGCTCAGCAGGGAGACCCCCTCTCCCGGTACATCTTCAGGAAAGCTGGGGAGATGCTGGGCAGACACGTTGTAGCCGTGTTGCCTGAGATTGACCCGGTGAGTCGAGGTGGGACATGAAGGTTGGAAGCTGCTGGGCCACATTTGGCCCTTTACCACCAGGACAGGACTGACCTCCCAAACCCTGTGTAAATTCAATTCTGTTTTAAATTAACTGAGGGTATGAGAAAAATTTCTGTAGAAAGTCTGTAGCATGATAAAGTACTTTGGTCAAGTGCCTTCCCTCTGTGATGGGTTATGATCTGTATGTAGGTACAGGACACTGGTTTCATGTACTGCAGGCACCGCCCCCCTTCTTTCACTCCTGCTCTTGTCCCTCCCCTTCCTCATCTCTTTCCTTCCTCTGTATTGTTGCATAACCTTTTTTCTTTTTCCAAGATCTTTTTTGTTTTTGAGTGTCCCTTATTTTCTTCCTTTCCTTGAGCCTACCTTCTGGTTCTCGGCTAGAGGGAGAGTAACTGGGATAGTATGGTTTGGTCTTAAGAAACCACCCCCTCCAGTCCTGGAGAGGCTTGGTCGGCCCCCAGCATCCATTTTCTGCCCTCTGCCCAGGTCTTGTTCCAAGGGGAGATTGGCCTCCCCATCCTGTGTGTGGGCTCTGTGTGGAAGAGCTGGGAGCTGCTGAAGGAAGGTGAGTTTGGAGGTGGTAGAGAAGAGAGGAGGACTAGGGGATGGGCCTGGGAAGGAGGTGGCCCAGAAGAGCTGCCTGCCCAGGGAGAACTTGGGGTTGGGCTAGGGGTACTGCTCCCAGCAAGAGGCTGGGGCCTGAGGGCCTGGACTAGTAGCTGATGCTTCAGGCCAAGGCCCTAAGCCCTCCTCCTGCCAGTAAGCTCTTATATAAGGTCCCCTCCCAGCTTCAGTGGACTCTTGAAAAGATGATCTTTTCCAAAGGATTAAATAATAACTACTTTCTAAAAATGGAAGACAAATCTAACTTAAAATCAGACTTTCTGATGTGTGTGATAACCTGTGGTGACATCCTCAGTCATCACAATCCTAGCCAAAAGGAACATGACTTCTTAGCCATTGGAGCCTTATTTCAGGCAGTTGTACGGTTTCCATTAGACATTCCTGAAGTAGCTCAAGGACCTCCATTGCTGCTTTGGAGTTCTTCACGTCAGGTGCCCTGGGTTTGAATGGGGGCTGCTGGCTCCAGTGCCCCTCACAGCTGTTACTGGGTTCATGTGCCTTGGTGCACCCTGTGCTGGGGATTCGGCATGGGGGCCCTCCAGGACCTCTACAGGAATGCTCGGGGCCCAGGCTTATCTTTCTCCCTCTGCCCCACCTCTCGTTGGTCTCCGCTCATCTCTGTTCTCTGCATTCTTTCCCTCCAGGTTTCGTTTTGGCGCTGACACATGGCAGAGAGATGCAGGCTCAGAACTCTTTCTCCAGCTTCACCTTGATGAAGCTGAGGCACTCCTCGGCCCTGGGTGGGGCCAGCCTTGGGGCTAAGCACATCGGGCACCTCCTCCCCATGGACTACAACGTCAATGCCGTTGCCTTCTACACCTACACCTTTTCCTAGGGGTCTGGTCCTGGCTCCACCTCTTCCAAGCCCAGTGGACATTGGGTGCTGGAAGGGAGGAAGCTTTTTCTTCCTTTTTCCTTTTTTTTTTTTTTAAAAAAAACACATAGAAAATAAACGCACTTTACCCACTCCCCAATGGGATTGTGTTGTCAGGCCGACTTCATGTGTACATCCTTAGTACACTTGCCAGATATCCCAGAGGGCTCAGGAATGGTTTTAGTCCAAGGTTTAAAGCCCCATCCCAGGTGCTTGGCCTGTGGTCTGCAGTACTTAGGCAGGTAATTGATCTGTGCAGGCTCTCCTCCCTCCATTACCATACATATATGCTGACTAGCTGCCAGGTAACCTGTGACCTCAATTGTCTCCCATCAAAGTAATGATCCCTGCCCAATCGTGTTCAGTAGAACTAAGTGTTCTCCACGTAGAACATCAAAGGGAATAACCTTAGGCATATGACATCCTCTTCCTGTGACAGTTCAGTGAATTTAGGGGAGAAGGGTACATCTCTAATCTGAGAGAGTTAGAACATCACTGATTTGGTAATCGGGTAAACAGCACGTTTGGCAGTTTCTCACGTGAATAAGTTCTTGAGAGATTTATGAAGATTGCTGAGATCAAAGAAGGCCAGTTGGGCACAATTTACCTAGGTGGTCCACCTATTCTAGGCTGCTGCCAGCCCGGCTCTGGTTAAAGCATGATGCTGTTATGTGGCACCGGGAACGATGAACATCAGTGAAGAACAGACAATGGTTCCTGTCCCCTGGATAACTCGTTTGATCAGTAAAGACAAGCCCAGAGCTTCCTCTGCTGCTGCCCATGCTGTTTGGTGGACTGAAGACGAGTCTTAATCCACAGAGGCTGCCTCTACAAGTGTTTAGAGTGTAAACTATTAGAAGGCATGGATCATGTCCTAGATAACAGTTTTCAAGCTTATGCACACCAATAATTCTAGGAGTGACTTTCAAATTCAGATTTATGTGCCCTTCCCCCCTAAGGTGTCTGATTCAACAGGTCGGGTGGGATGGGGAATTTTCTACTAGATACCTTAGCTAATTGCTGTAGGGGGTCTGGTATCTGCAGCTGAGGGAGTTTTACCCTGCAGCTTTTGAGTTCTGATTGGGCACTCTAGGGGGTCTTCTATATAGGCTTGTTTCCCAAGTCAGTTGACACTGTACTTTCACACACTGGCATTCATACAGAACAGAATAGCAGCAGCTCTCATCCCATCGTGCTCAGCCCAGCAAGCCAGAGTTTTGAGCAATAAGAAGTCCCTTTTGAAGGGACAGCCAGCCATCTACGCCTCCATCTATGGCCCAAACCATTGGACTGTGGGGCCGAGCTCTCAGCAAGTCTCCACTACACCAGTGGTGAAAAGCTTGTAAAGAGAACAAGGATACACACAAGAGGTGAATTTGCTGTTGTTACAGCCCTAGTAATACTGTTGAGTTTTTAATAAGTGGCGAGTTTTGGAGAAGTGAAGTTCGAACCGCTATTTTTACATGATATTAAGGATCAAGCAGTATTTTGGACTTAGAATCCAAAGTTTATGGATGAAAAGTGGAATTTATAAATACTGAGACCAACTAATGTTTAGGATATGGTCATCACGAGGGTCTACAATTCAAAAGCACAAGGAATGTTTTAGAGCAGAGCAAGGAACACATCTTGATTGATTCTGTAGTCTTCAGCACATCAGCATTGAGTAGTTGAAAAAAATGAAGGCAGTCTTAAAGTGCACGAGGTCAGATTGTGCTCCTGATTCCTTTAGCCAAAGGAGAAGTAATGACGTAGCTTATTCTCTAGCTATTACACAGAGGCTCAGGTGCAGAAAACCCTAAATGATTTTAATGTTTTCCCCCTTCAATTTTAAACTTCTATTCTCCTTCCCTCAACAAAATATCAGGAATAATTCATGGGATTCTCCACTTCGAAGGCATTGAAGACGTATGCACTCATCTGATCCCACACAGCCCTGTGACAAGGCAAGAGCTTGGGACAAGCACTGACTTGAACGAAGCCAGCACTGCCTTTAACTGTGATCTCGTGGACAGCACAGCATCACCTGTACCATTCATTCAGCAGACATGTATGGAACATCTAGGTGTGACGATGCTCCAAGGATTAAAATTTTCACCCTTCTTCAGTTGGGGAAAATTCATGGAAGTGCACACTTAAAATACCTGCACTTTTCTGTGGAATATTACACTTTTCAGTAAAAAGTTTAAGAAGTGAATACACCATCCACATCTTAAGAGTATGTTATGTTACACTCTGATAGTTCAGACACTGTACACACATAACTATTGTTTTTAGTTGCCATTGAGTCGATTCCAACTCATGATGACCGCATGTGAGAGAGTAGAACTGCTCTATGGGGTTTTCAAGGCTCTGACCTTTCAGAAGCAGATTGCCAGGCTTATCTTCCAAAGTGCCTGTGGGTATGTTCAAACCTCCATCCTTTGGGCTAGTAGTTGAGTGCTTACACCCAGGGACTCCTACACATAACTGTAGCACCTCAAGTCTATAAATAAGCAAGTCAGTTCAGATTCCTACCCCTCCAGGTTTAATGAAGGTGATAAAAGGCCTCAAAACAAAACCCAGGGGCCCTGGTCTGGCCCCATGGTCTTTTTACCATATGAGAAAGCTCAGACAATCATTGGGAGTTTTAAACTTAGTGTAAATTGAAACTAAGTACACATTACCTAATTAATCTCCAGGAATTATGTGATTTGTTAACCCAGTAGTCCCCAGTGCCTAAACCAGCATTTGGTACAAAGCAGGCTCTCTAACCTGTCCAATAGTTGAAAGGCAAATAGAGAATTCCTTTAGCTGTTTACTAGGTAGGAGTCAGTTTTGCCCAGAAACAGAAAATATCCATGTATTAACTGTCTACATGTATTCTAAAATTAAGCTGTCTAAATTTCACAATAGCCTCAAGAGGGAAATGTACCTTTACAAATAAGGAAACTGGTTCAGGCTGAGGGCAAAAAGAAAGCGATTTCCGAGCCCACACTCTTACCACTCTGTAACCCTATTTGGAATGGAAAACTATGCAACTAAAACTATGATTAAAAACACACACACACACACCCCATGCACATACACCCCCTGCCGTATGATACAGAATGACCCAATCTGAGGAAGAAGGGTACCACTGCCAGTAAAAGCATTTTATTCTCATTTTATTGAGATTTTCAACAGCTGCCATTTGGTTTGTATAGCAAAATTCTTAAAAAGTAACTTTTTTCCATTTTTTAAATTTTTATGAAAATTATTTCCTCAATTTTAAAGCCCTGTCCCTCCTCCAAAGAAGTATTAATAACTACCACGTAACATTTATTTGGGGGGGTGGTGGTGGTAACAAAAACAGCTTTTAAACACTTGTGAGAGATACAGATCCAGAGTGAAGACCTGCTGGGCCTGCTGAAGGTGCCAAGCTGCCCCAGGGCATCATGAGAACTTCATCCAGGCCAAGAGCCAGTGTGCCCTGCATACACCTTCTGGGGGCTTCTCCTTGTTCCGCAAGCTCCACTCCCTTTTTCCACTCTACCTTCTCTGCTGTCTGCTCTCGTTCCTCCAAAATCTGTCTAACAAAGGCAGCAGGATCTTGAATACATGTTCAACTTTGTAATGGAGACAGGATACTGTATTTAGAAAGTTCAGAGATTCCCCCATCCAGGCTAAGGGAGGAAAAAAGTCGAACATAGCACTGATGGTTTCATTTCCTTGTCCACTCAAGCACACGCTCATACTTATTAAATGACTATCAGATGCTTCAAAAGTCTTGACGTGTGTAGATAGCATAAACGTTCCTTATAAAAAAGTTGCAAAATTATAAAAATTTCTGCAGCAGTTCAGGCTCCTCAAGTGGAGCTTCTAGAAGATGACAAAGCTGGTTGATAAGCAGTCCCTATAATGTGAACAGCAGCTTCCCCTAGGAGTTCTGTTTTGAGGGTTTGGATCACAGGAAGCTAAAATCCAAGTTTAAAAGGCTCCCTTGCTGACAAGCTATGGTATATCCATATAATGGAATATATTCACCAATAAAAAGGAATAAACTATTGATCACATTACATCATGGATGAACCTCGAAAACATTATGCTAAGTGAAAGAAGTCAGGCACAAGAGATCACATATTGTACAATTATGTTCAGAAAACACAAATTTATAGACAGAAAGTAGATTAGTGATTGGCTGGGGCTGGGAACCAGAATAAGTGTAAATGGCATGAGTGATCTTACGCGGGGTGGGGCGGAGGTGTGTGAGAAATTGTCCCAAAACTGAGTTACAGTGATGGCAGCACCACTTGGGAAAGTCACTAAAATCACTGAATTGTATACCTGAAATGGGTGAATTTTATGATATATAAAATATACCTCAATAAAGATATTAAAAAAAAAAAAAAAAAAGACTTCCTACCCTCCAAAGCACCCATCAAGCATTCAGTATTTCTGAAAGCTCACAATCAACAGGACAGGATTATCACTTAGTGTTGGTTTACAGACTGAACATTTTACTATTATCTCAGTATTTTTTTTTAGTATTGAATGGCCTACAATTTTTCTTTATTATTTTTAAATAAAAGGAAAGCAAGATTGGGGGAGAAAGCTCAGTAAATCTTGCAAATGAGACTCCTCGTAACAACAAAATCTAAGGAGGCTTTTTCTCTTGAAATAAAGATGGCGCATCTGTCCCTTTGCACATTTCTCTTCTGTCCCCCGGGGGGTGGATCTCTTGGCTGACACCGGGCAGAGACCAGTGTACTCGGCTGTCCTATTCCCACGACCCCCTAAAAACTCAGACTGACTGGGAACAGCAGTAAGTGGCTGGTGAGGAACTTGTTTCCTTGGGTTGGCCTCCTGTTTCCCTGTCACCAATAGCAGCTTCAAGACGAGAGAAATAAAGACAGAAGATTAAAAGCAAAGGAAAAAAAAAAAACCCTTGCAAAACTGTGACTAGCCAAGTCTGTGAATGACATCCACCACAAGGCTGGAGAGCAGTGGCTATGAAAGTGCTCTGCGTACTACACAGGGTGGAGAGAACAGAATTAACGCTCCACATGGGCAATGAGGGGTGAAATGACTCATGGAGAATTGTGGGCAGAGGCAGGAGGAGAGCAAAGCCCCTGCTGCATGCCAAATCAGGGTCAATTCTCCTGTTCTCTCCACCCACTTCTCAAACTAATGATGTTGGCATTATCCCAAAGAGGAGCAGCTGGGCATACATACAGTCTTCCCCAGTAAGTGGACATCTCTAATTCTTGGTCACATTTGTTAGGTTTCTGCCTGTTTCCATACTTCAACATCACTCAAACCAAGAAACTTTATTAGCCTGTGGCACAGGAACCCTTATCAAAGAACGCCTGCCCCCTACAATCACAGCAGAGTAGATTCCTAGGCTCCAGATGTTTCAGGAGCCTGGGCAGTCATTTCTTTACATGGTGTTTGCAGTAGCACTAATGCAAGAAGATTCAGACAGGCTGTGTCCTTTGGCTCTTTGGCTTCCTCTTCACACAACTTTCCTCTTTGACACGTGTTAATTGCCAGAGTATTCAACTAACCTAAAACCCCAAACCCAAAACCCACTGCTGTCCAGTCAATTCCAACTCATAGTGACCTTACAGGACAGACTAGAACTACCATAGGGTTTCCAAGGCTGTAAATCTTTATGGAAGCAAACTGCCACTTTCTCTAGAACCTTACTTCCCAGCCTCTCCGAAATCAATCAAAACTTTTGATTGTGCAATATACGATTCGTAAAATGCTGCTTGGTAAGTCACTAAAAGTTTTATTTTCAAGCCACAGTTAACAATGTAATCTTAATTAAGGAGACCCCAGCAGTTTTTACTTTGGAAACGAAAGATGCTGCAATGGTCCAGCCTTTTCCTATGATTATTTCTCGTTTGACCCGATGTGATCCCCAAAAGTCCACTGCTGTGGGTCAGAAACTGGTCCACAGATCCAGGTATGCATGTGCTCAGGCCTAGGATGTCCCCATTAAGTTTTCTGCTGCAGGTAAAAGGCCTGAAGAAATAAAAAAGGCATTTCTACGATCTTTTTTCCTCTTGAAGAAAAAGAGATAAAATAATTTTCATCTTGAAGATTTAGAGTCAAATAAATAATCATAATGATCGGAAATCAATCACTAATAAATTAATACCAGGACCAGCCAGAGCTGGCAACTGTTAGGAAGACACAGTTCTATTTCTATACAAATTCTCAAACTTCCAGTTGCCAGCAAAAAAAAGTTTGAACGGAGTAGTGGCTTAAATTCCACATCAAAATAATCACTTATAAATAAATATATGCCTCACCATTAAAACGTAAAGGTGTTGAGCCCGACCTGCACTCAGAACCTTTCCTATGAGGAAAAGTCAGACAGACTGAGGCTACCAGACTTTCCCCAGTGAAGGTCCAACAAAACCCAAGTATATTTTCTGCTAAGAAGTTGGCAAACTCTTAACAATAGCTGAGCCTATGATCTCGGTAGTAACCGTGCTCTCACCTCACAACACAAAATAGTTGGAGAAAAGAGCTGGGCTACAAGAAGGAACCGTTTATAGCTTTTCAGACCCCAGTCCTTTCTCTACATTAAAAAAGGGGTCGCACTGTAAGCCGCTTCCTGACCCTGAAGTTAGTATCTTTGAATAGGACTCAGGCTCCACTGCTCATCTGACAGGAAAACTTTTTTAGTCCTAACCAAATATGCCTTGTGAAACCATGCCAGAGACCAACATGCAACATGGAATAGCACAGCAGTAAGAAAGGCAAGCCCCTTGAACTGTACCTAGCAGCACAGCCTACCCTGCTGTCAGAGCGTGAACCTCCTCAAGGGCGAAGAAACAGCTTAACTCCAGATTCCTGCAGGACCTTCCAGATGGGGAGCCAAACAAGAGTCTATTGCCCTCTTTATGATGGAGACACTCACAGTCTCGAGAATGCACTCCTTCTGTCATCATATTTTCAACAGCCTTCCGAATTCTGAAGTTGGACAGGCTAATGGAGGCTGAGGGAGGAAAAGCAGCCCCAGGAGAGTGAGACCTCTCTCTCTGCACTTCCAAGGCCCTCTGTAGTAGAGGAAACCATCAGCTGAAAGCTGAAGCTGGAATAACGAAGTTTCTTTATTCATAGCCCTCCCTGAAGAGTTAACGGTTCCATTCTCTAGAGGTAGATGCTTGAGGAATTAATGCGTTTGTCTGGAAATACCCGCTCCCCAAGCTAATCTCCTATGACATACAACCTAACAAGGAAGGCCGTTTTTCAAACGACGCTATCCTACAGATTCAAACGAGGAAAAGCTATAGTTCATATTTTAAATCTGTCATTAGCCTGTCGCTGTTCAGAAAGTCAGCAAGGGAACCCATAAGAAAAAGGAGAATTTGTTAAGCTTTCCAGACCCCAGTCCTTTCTTTCCAACCTCTGTCCCACATCCACATACCGAATTTACAGACTTCAAGTTACGTGATCGTTTCCTCATAGGCCTATCACACCATACAGTAGCAGTCACACAGAAGCCACTATCATCCTCAGGCCTCTGCAAGTCTTAGTCCTGGGAGAATGGCCAGGACTAGACTCAATCTCTTTCAATCATGACTCTGCCACCTGCATCGCTATTACACAAAGGCAGCTCCTGATGCCCAGTTTAGTTCCTTATGAGTATCAACAAAAACCCCAGTGAGTTATAGACAGGAAAGGTAAAAGGAACACACCCAGAGAGCGGGACTAACAAGCTCGCAAAGTGGGGTGTATGGGAACTGCAAAATTTTATAACAGGTGGATATATCCTGACAATTAGTCACCTTGATAAAGCAGCCCTCACTCTCCTAGGGTTTTTTGAGTTCCTTTGCATAATTCTACAGGGTGGGGAGAAGCACCCAAAAGCTTCTTGCTAATGTCCTGAAAAATAGATTTACTTGTAAACGTGCGTAAAACTTTTCTAAGGGAATGGAGATACCAAGGGGACCAAGTGTTCATGGGGCTGGAAAAATATATAATCGTGCAAAATAAACTTAAGACACAACTAACAAGATTCAAGAATGACTTCTCCAGGCTCAGCTGGATGGCCAGCACAGCATGCCTCTCATACAGCTTTGGTAATGATGTCTTTTCCTGATAAATCAGAGTATGGTTGGGGTGGACAGGAGACGGGGAGTACCTAGACACCATAAGGGATGAGGTGGCAAATCAACCCCAGTGTTCTTTTACCTTGTAAATGATGAGTCTGATGGTAGCTGTAAACAGAGGCTTAAGAGTAGGACAACAGTAACTGAATGACTCAAGTGACAATTGCCATCACAGTCCTCCCCTTCTGATTTACAACTTTCATCAACCATCAAGAGTTACTGTAAACCAGTACCTTAAGACTCTGTTTTCTTGAATGGAATTCGGGGCAGGGAGAAGTGGGCTCAACAGGCTCCTGGTAATCCCAGTTCATTGCAGGATACCTCCAGGGGTGAGGGAACTGAGCTGTGTGTTCTGGTTTGCCACCTGCTTCTTCCACTTGTCCCTCTTCCCATCCAGCTTATTAGCAAATACGACAAGTAGTTCTCCAGGTGTTCATTGCCCTTCTAAGTATACAGCAGGGTGAAAAGGGCATTTCTTAAACACCTAGTTTTTTCTTGGTCAGCTTATTTGGTTTAAACACACACAGCAGACATTCCTGATGAAGGAAAAAAAAAAAAAAGAGATTGCAATTTCCTTAACTCAAAATAGCTAACAAAAAAAAAAAAGGAAACTGCTCCCCATGGAAGTCAGTAGAACAAAAGAGAAATACTCAGAGGCTCCTAGAATAAGACCGAGCACATTAGTTACTCGAGTCACAGGAGTTAAACCACTGTTCCCCTTCCCCAAAGAGCACCCCTCCCAGCCCACCCCCCTCTTCAGCCCCGGCTTTCTGTGCAGCACGGTCCCCAGATGTGGGGACATACAAGTCCTCCTCAAAGCTTTCTGTCAGCTCAGTACTTCACTCCTGGAATAAACTCCTTGGCATCTGGGTTCAGGTTACTTTTGCTCTGAAAGAAGAATCAAGAGATACTAAATCTTAAGGGAAGGTGCACTTTAAAAGTCATTTTCTCCCTGCTTCCATTACTAGCAGATCTTCCCTTCAGATTCAAGGACAGAAATAAATAAAATTCTCTGTATATCAGGCTGTGACTGCATCCTATGTCAGAGTTCCTTAAACACAAAAGCTGGGCTGCTGCCACCGGCTCCTGACATGTTAAGCCTGACCAGCCTCATTTTCTCCTTAGACTCCTGTTCCCTTCATGATGCTTTCCAAATTCCCATCAGAGGCCCACAAGTTTGACTCCAAAAAGAATATTCCAATTCATTAAGTATCTTAATGAAAATCAGTTTTCCATGAAACAGTTTGGTTACCACAATCCCTATTTTTCTTCATCTTTCTATACTCACCTCCTTGCCTGTCTACTCTCATGTGAATATCCAAAACCTCAGCAAGATTGCAGGACACAATCATTCAGAACATGAGTTGTGTGAGAACTATATCATTCACAGAACACATTAAATCAACATGGAAGACAGGGAATTAGCCTATCTGGTCTTCTGAGTGGAAAATAGGCTCTCAGGAGTATATTCCTTCCAAACTGAGCAGGCAACTATATTAAATGCAGATTTGGGAGGTATTAAAAGGGAAGGGCAGCAGCAAATCATAATTTGAAATCAAACCTCTTCGGTGTTCAATTTTTTATTCTTAGTCCCAATTCTACTTTGAAAAGCACATTAGGGAAAAATGGAAGGTGGTGATGCTGGCAATAATGTTTTCACAATGCTTTATGAGGTGCAATGCATCTTTGAAGCACCCTCTTAGTAATGCCTATGTGACGAGTGAAGAAACAGTGGCTCAGAGGGCTGCAGAGCCTTGCCGACGGTTATAGGGCCAAGAAAGAGGGTCTGTGACTCCAAATCCTATATTCTCTTCACTATACTGCATGTAGAACTCCATATGGCTCTTACCAAAATATCTTCAGAATCATGATTGTCACTGACTGAAAGGCCATTTAACTGTTGCTGCAACTGTCCCACGGCCTGCGGCAGGTCTCGCGAAGGAATAAACCAGTCTTGGTCTTCTTCATCCAGCATCTCCTGGAAGCAGCGGTCCAGGAAGTCTTGCTCCTGCAGCTCCTCCTCCACCTAGCAAACAAAGGGGAGGAGCTCAGACTGACTGTCCCAATGGGATTCACCCCTTCCAGGTTTCTGTCCACCTCCTTCCTCCAGAGGTTACTACTCTACAATAAAGGATGATCTTGTATAATATCTACTAAGAATTAAGATGCTTCTAATGACTGGCCAGGGAAAATATTTCTAATTTTTGCCACCAAATTCCATCAACAATAAGACTGAGGAAATAGTTATTCCAAATAGCAGAAATTCAAACTCTTCACAGATCCTCTAGGATCTCTAATATATGATACAGACATTTTTCATTAATCTGGCACTTATGAAAAATCATTTCAGAGCTTGAAATTCTTTTCTCAATCTTGTTAAGAAGCAACCTTCTTAAATTTCCCATTTTACAAGTAGTATGTAAAAAGGCACAGTAACTATGTAACTAGCTAGTTCACTACCTGGATAGTAGAGATTAAATCAAAACTAATGCTCAGTTTCTGGCCCACTCTCCTGGTAGTAAGGTCCACATGGGAGAAAAATACCTTCAGGATCTTAGAAGGATAGAAAACTTTTTTTGGCATACCACCAGAAAATGAGATGGCATCAACGTTGTATTCTTTCAAAACAAGAAGAAATACATGAATATTGAAACAACTCCATATTTCTTTGTTTTTAATTTTTAATTTTATTGTTGTAATTAAATGAAGTTTACATTTCAAGTTAGTCTTCCATACAGATTTTTTTTTTTTTTACATACATTGTTATGAGACCCTAACCGCTCACCCCATTCTGTGACAGCACACTCCTCCCCTCCGCCCCTGACTCCCCATGAACATTCAACCAGCTCCTAACTCTCTCTGCCTTCCCAGCTCACCTCTGGACAGAAGCCGCCCCTTTGGTCTCTTGTATCTACTTGTCTAAGAGGCATATTCTTCACAAGTATCACTTTATGTCCAACAGTCCAGTCCAATCCCTGTCTGAAGAGTTGGCCTCGGAAATTGTTTTAGTTCTGGGGTGATGGAGAGACCAGGGGCCATGCTTTCTGGGGCACCTCCAGTCTTAGTCAGACCATTAAGTTTGGTCTTCTTACTAGAATTTGAGTTCTGCATCCCATCGTTCTACTGCTCCATCAGGGACCCTCTGTTGTGTTTCCTGTTAGGACGTTCACTGGTGGTAGCCGGGCACCGTCTAGTTCTGGTCTCAGGCTGATGAAGTCTCTTGTTTATGTGGCCCATTCTGTCTCTTGGGCCAATACTTTCCTTGTGTCTTTGGTGTTCTTCGTTCTCCTTTACTCCAAGTGGTTGGGACCAGTTGATGCATCTTAGATGGCTGCTTGCAAGCTTTTAAGACCCCAAACGCTACTCACCAAAGTAGGATGCAGAACATTTTCTTAATAAGGTTTGTTATGCCAGTTGACATAGATGTCCCCTGAAAGCATGGTCCCCAGACCCCACATCCCTGCTACTCTGTCTCTCAAAGTATTTGATTGTATTGAGGAAACCTCTTAGCTTTGGTTTAGTCCAGTTGTGCTGGCTTCCCCTGTAGTGTGTGCTGTCCTTCCCTTCACCTAAGATGATTCTTATCTACTATCTAGTTAGTGACAACTCCGTATTTCTTAAACATTGCCTTAAATTAAAGCACTATGTACCTAGATGTTTTACACTCCTTCACATATATTGTTAACTCTTAGTAAAGAATATGATTAGTCAAGAGTATGGTTCACTCTGCAGATTTAAGTGTGACTTAGAACAGTCTTCCTGCCTCACAGTCTGCCCTCCCTTTCCTGCAGCCCGCCTCTTACAGATTCACAGCTCACTAGCGCCACCACTAGAGTGGAGGTCGAGCAAAAAACAATCACCGAATGATGGCTGAACAACATGATGAACATAATTAATATCACTGAACTGTACATGTGAAGATTGTTGAAATGTCAAGTGCTTTGTTACATATACATTTACCACAATAAAAAATCCACTAAATTAGTCCATACATATCTTTGCCACATAAATTCAGAGGAAGAGTCATGGTAGTAAGACTTAAGAACAGTGCTTCGGGTTACAATTAGCCACACTATCTTAAATCTCAAATAAATTAGTCATGAAGTACTTAAAATAACAACTTAACAGATTTCCAAGCCACAAGACTTAACATAAATGTTCAACATCTGCCCTGACTCTCTCTAAGAGCAAACAGCTTGCTCCTCCTTATTATATCTACCTGTGTTCAATTAAAAATAAATTTTATTTTTCCTTGTGGTGATGAGAAATTTGGCAATGATTATGGGTGATAGTTGCACAACATGATTAATGTAATCGATATCACTAGATTGTATACCTGAAAAATGTTGAATTGGCAAATGTTGTGCTATATATATTTTTACAAAAACAACAAAGCATCTACTCTTGTTCACTGGCACAACTGATAAAGACAGTTACACCTGGGCCCAAAGGTGTGACTGAAAACATGGCATATGCGCTACTCAGAGTAAGCCACTTGGGGTGGGAACTGCTAGCTGAGCCCCCAAACTTGTTTCCCTATTCTTCCCAGAGCACCAGGCTGTTCAGTTAAAACCACATTTCCTGCCTCCCATGCTGGATGTGGCATGTTGACTATTCATCAGACGAATGTCACCAGAAGGAATGTGGGCAGTTTGGCATCACTTGATTAAAAGGAAACCTCTTGCCCTGGCTTTCATGCTCTCTCCCTTTCTCAGCTGCTAGACTTCCTAGTTATCCCTCAGCTGCTGAGCTAATAAATGCCCTGGGGGTGGCAGAGCAACCTCACTGAAGGGACCATGTGCTGGCAGAATCACCTGTTGACCTGGAATGCTTAGTTGGGCTGTTAACATGACAGAAGTGTAAGACAATGTACTGCTGAATCTTTGTTGAAGCAGTCTAGCCTTACCCCACCTAACACACTTCTCTATCTCAGAGTCACATTCTGCCAGCGCCCCTGGTTCCCATTTGGGGTATACCAGGCTAGCTGTCTGCATACAGCTGTTCTTTCTCAGAGATCACCCCACATCAGATTAAAAAAACTTCATTTCATGTGCTAAACTGCCACACCTCACCCCTTCACACAAATTCCCATGAAAACATTTCAAAAAGAGAGCAGAAACTAAGGAGTTCTAGGAACAAGGCTTAACCTTATCTGACTAGTAAAATTATTATGCAGTTTATTTCTGTGAATTCTCATCTTACCAATGTTCATACTAAACAGAAAAAGGAAATCTTACAGTTCAGATACAGAAGGTCATTCTGCCTTTCTAATAAGTTTTGAGTGTGTAGTTTTGCCATTATAAAAATTTGGGAAAAAGAGAAAATAACCATCATATACAATTTTGCCATTCAGAAATAAGTGCTGTTTATCTTCTAATCATTTATTTCCATCATTTCTTGTGGCATACTTTGATCCACATAATTGTGGACATATGGTATAGAGAACATTTTATCTTCAGACTAAAAAAAACATTTCTTAAAAAGAAATGTATACTCATTGTCTTAGTTATCTAGTAATGCTATAACAGAAATACCACAAGTGGAAGGCTTTAACAAAGAGAAATTTATTCTCTGAGTCTAGGAGGCTAGAAGTCTGAATTCAGGGTGCCAACTCCAGGGGAAGGCTTTGTCTCTCTGTCGGCTCTGAAGGAAAGTCCTTGTGATGCATCAGTCTTCCCTTAGCCTGAGAGCATCTCAGCACAGGGATCCTGGGTCCAAAGGATATGCTATTCTTCTGACTCTTGTTTCTTGGTGGTATGAGGTCCCCCTGTCTCTCTGCTCACTTTTCTCTTTTATATCTCAAAAGAGATTGACTTAACTCCATAGATACATCCAAACTCCCTGAGGGACTGAACTGCTGGGTGGAGGGCTGTGGGGACCATGGTCTTGGGGAACATCTAGCTCAATTGGCATAACATAGTTTATAAAGAAAATGTTCTACATTCTACCTTGGTGAGTAGCGTCTGGGGTCTTAAAACCCTGTGAGCAGCCATCTAAGATACTCCACTGGTCTCACCCCTTCAGGAGCAAGGGAGAATGAAGAAAACAAGACACAAGGAAAAGATTAGTCCAAAGGACTAATGGACCACAACTACCATGGCCTCCACCAGACTGAGTCTAGTACAACTAGATGGTGCCCAGCTACCACCACTGACTGCTCTGACCGGGACTATAACAGAGGGTCCCGGACAGAGCTGGAAAAAAATGTAGAACAAAATTCTAACTCACAAAAAAAGACCAGACTTACTGGCCTGACAGAGACTGGAGAAACCCCAAGAGTATGGCCCCCCGACACCCTTTTAGCTCAGTAATGAAGTCACTCCCGAGGTTCACCGTTCAGCCAAAGATTAGTCAGCCCCATAAAACAAAATGAGACTAATGGGGCACAACAGTCCAGGGACGAGGACTAGGCAGGAGGGGACAGTGTTGACATGTCATGGGGTTGTTAACCACTGTCATAAAACAATATGTGTACTGTTTAATGAGAAACTATTTGTTCTGTACACCTTCAATAAAAATAAAAATAATAAAATAGATGATTTTACTCCAAAAAAAGGAGATTGACTTAAGATAAAATCTAATCTCATAGACTGAGTTCTGCCTCATTAATATAACTGCTTCTAATCCTGCCTCATTAGAATCACAAAGGTAGGATTTGCAGTGCATAGGAAAATCACATCAGATCACAAAATGGTAGATAACCACATAATGCTGGGAATCATGGCTGTCTCAGTTATCTAGTGCTGCTATAACAGAAATACCCACAAGCAGATGGTTTTAACAAAGAGAAGTTTATTCTCTCTCAGTCTAGTAGGCTAGAAGTCCAAATTCAGGGCGTCAGCTCCACAGGAAGGCTTTCTCTCTCTGTCAGCTCTGGAGGAAGGTCCTTCTCATCAATCTTCCCCTGGACTAGGAGCTTCTCTGTGCAGAAACCCCGGGTACAAAGGATGCACTCTGCCCTCGTGCTGCTTTCTTGGTGGTATGAGGTCCCCCACTCTCTGCTCATCTCTTGTAAGATAAAAGGAGGTACAGGCCACACCCCAGGAAAACTCCCTTTACATTGGATCAGGGATGTGACCTGAGCAAGGGTGTTACATCCCACCCTAATCCTCTTAAACATAATCTAATCTTGCTTCATCAACCACAAGCAGAGATTAGGATTTACAACACATAGGAAAATTATATCAATGACAAAATGGAGGACAACCACACAATACTGGGAATGATGGTCTAACCAAGTAGATACATATTTTTGGGGGACACAGTTCAATCCATGACAAGTTGACACACATTTTGGGGGGATACAATTCAAACCATAACACTCATTTGGAGAATGTGAAAAACACAGAAAACTTAAAAAAAAAGAAAAGAAAAAAAAAGCCAGAATTTCAAAACTGCCAGCATCCTTCCTCCCTTCTTCCTCAGCTTTGGAGAGTATGGTCAGTGCAGTAAACTACTGGCTAGCCACAAGGTGGCCGAGAGGTGCCCATTTGCTACAGTTAGCTATATGCCTTTATGTGCTATGCTAATTGTTGAGGAGTGATGTCGGTAACCAAGAGATGCCTCAGGCAGCATGCAGCGTGATAGACTGCTTTTATATGGCCTTTCTAGCTATGGTCTTGTAATTCCCACCAAAAAGACTGGGTAAAACCAAAAAAACCAAACTCGTTGCCGCTGAATCAACTCTGATTAATAGTGACCCTGTAGAACAGAGTAGAACTGCCCCACAGGTTTTGCAAGGAGCAGCTGGTAGATTCAAACTACCAACCTTTAGGTTAACAGTTGAGCTCTTACACTAGGGCTCAAAGATTGGGTAGCACTATACAAATAAGGTGCTTGTGTCCCACCAAGGGGATTGGGTGGCTTGCTAGTAATACAAATAAGGTGGATGGCACTCTTGTGGGGGTGGGACCATGCAAATAAGGTATATGGAACCCTAACAGGGGAATTGGTCAGTTTTGCCATCCTGCTAAGCTTAAAATGAGCCATCCCAGAGGTGGAAATGGGGGACCAACTACCACCAAGAAGAGACGGGAGTGGATCACATCCTTTGGACCCAGAATCCCTGCACTGAGACCCTCCTAGATCCAGAAGACAGACAGAGAGCTGTAACTGGAGACGTCAACACGGCAAGAAGCAGCAGCAGAGGTTGCAGAATCAGGAGATTGGCAGGAGATGGCAAGGTGAGCTTACCAGTCCATGGAGTGAGAAAGCTAAACGCTTTCGGGCAGGAGCTTGGTGGCAGAGTGGGGTGCCACCAGGCATGTGGCAGAGCTAGGATCCCTGAACCACAGAGAGAGCTGAGCATCTTCGGGCCAAGACTTACTGGTGGAACTAAAGAGCACTGTAACACTTGCTTGAGCAGGGCAGAGACCTTGGCCAAGGGCCAGAGAAAGGCCTGCCTGTGGGCATGGCTGAGAAGAGGCTGTCCTGATTGAAGAACTGTATCCTGAATTGTAACCTGTTACTTCCCTAATAAACCCCATATCTGTGAATATGGTCTGTGAGTTCTGTGTGGCCCTTGCAATGAATTATCAAACCCAGCAGAGAAGTAGAGAGTGCCACGGGAGGGATGGCTGGTGTCAAAACTGGTAAAAAGGCTGGAGGGTGAAGGTATGTTTGACCTCTGCCTCACAGGTATCAGCCTTGGGCTGTTGGTCTTGATTCTCTTTCTCCCTTGTAAAGTTAGAGGAGATCAGATGACTCGGCCAAGCTGCCATTTTTACATAGCACTAGAAGAAAGTGATCAGCTGGGGGATCTCAGGAAATAGCACAGCACAGGGAACCCAGGCTAGGATAGGAGGCAGGGAACACACACCCTGTTGACATAAAATCTCTGTACCAGTGGTATATCCCTTAGAGTATATATAACTTCAGCTCTGGAAACCCAGGGTTGATTCTATTTAATTTAACCTTATAAACAAAACAAAAAACAAAAAATTGTCTAGGCTCACTTAGTCTTTCTAAGCAAGGGGTAAATCTCTCCATGGCAAATTCCTATATGTCTTAGAACCTAATCACCATCATTAGGTCATGATTCCCAGTATTGTATGATTGTCTACCATTTTGTCATCTGATGTGATTTCCTTATGTGTTGTAAATCCTATCACTATGATGTAATGAGATGGATTAGTGGCAGTTATATTGTGTACAAGATTAGTGTCTTAAGCCAATCTCTTTTGAGATATAAAAGAGAGAAGCAAGCAGAGAGACATGGGGACCTCATACCACCAAGAAAGCAGTGCCAGGACCAGAACGTGTCCTTTGAACCTGAGGTTCTTGTGCTGAGATGCTCCCAGACCAAGGGAAGACTGATGCATCACAAGGACCTTCCCCCATAGCTGACAGAGAGAGAAAGCCTTCCCCTGGAGAAGGCACCCTGAATTTGGACCTCTAACCTACTGGACTGTGAGAGAATAAACTTCTCTTTGTTGAAGCCACCCACTTGTGGTATTTCTGTTAAAGTAGCACTAGATAACTAACATACTGCCTGACTTGCAGATTTTGGATTCACCAACTCCTACAACCCTGTGAGCCAGCAGAGGCCTCCAGCCTGCCACCTGACCTACAGATTTTGGGTCTGTCAGCCCCTTGAACCATGTGAGCCAACAGAAGTCTTCACAGCCTGTCACCTGACCCCACAGATTTGGGACTGGCCAGCCCTCACAATTGGGACAGGCATTTCCTTGAAGCAAATTTCTCTCTATGTATTTATATATGCTTCACTGACTTTGCTCCTCTAGAGAACCCAGACTAAGACAGGGACTTAATCTTTAAAACTGCATTTCAATCCAGTTCTATCGGCCTTCAAGTCAGTGAAAATCATTTCAATAGAACAATGACTGTCACTCCTAGTTTCTGGTGTTGTTTAGTTGTTTCTTAGATATCTTATCGGAAAGTCAGAAATACTGTATCAGGGTTGCTAGAAATCAGTTTCTTTCTTCTTAAGATCCAACACAAGATGTGCAGTATGCATGAAAACTATGCTAGTAATGGGATTGGTGGTGATGGGCAAAAACTGTACAGTTCACCATGGGGAAATAGAGTAATGTACAGGGAGAACTGGTATCAGTCAGATCCCAGATTCCTAAACCCTGTTGCACAGCCAAATGAGGGACACAGAAGGCTTCTCTGAAACAGTCAATCCCCTGACTTGAATATCATGTAAAAAACCGAAGCCAAACCTGTTGCCGTCGAGTCGATTCCGACTCATGGCGATCCCACAGGACAGAGCAGAACTGCCCCATAGGATTTCCAAGGAGCGGCTGGTAGATTCAAACTGCCGACCTTTTGGTTAGCAGCCAAGCTCTTAACCACTGCACCACCAGGGCCCCTGAATATCACATAGCAGTTTCAAAATAATGTTGCCACACTAGCATTACCTGTACAATATTAAGGTTGGGGCAATTTCAGCAAACATCTGTTTATCTGCTCAGCCTTTCTTACCAAAAAAGAAAAAGAAAAAACCAAAGCTATTGCTGTTGAGTTTGATTCCAATTCATAGCAACCTTACAGGACAGAGTAGAACTGCCCCATAGGGTTTCCAAGGAGTGGCTGGTGGATTCAAACTGCCAACCTCTCGGTTAGCAGCTGAGCTCTTAACCACTACACCGCCAGGGTTTCAGCCCTTCTTAGAGCCTGGTATTTATTTATAACAATCCTTGAAGCTGCCAAGGATAAAGATGTCATCGCTTTCCTAGTTCTCTCAAACAAGTTACTACAATTTTTAAAGTCTCTGTCTTAGCTATCTAGTGCTGCCATAACAGAAACACCACAAGTGGATGGCTTTAACACAGAGAAATTTATTCTCTCACAGTCTAGAAGTCTGAATTCAGGGCGTCAGCTCCAGGGGAAGGCTTTCCCTTTTGGTTGGCTCTGGAGAAAGGTCCTTGTCATCAATCTTCCCCTGGACTAGGAGCTTCTCAGCACAGGAACCCCAGGTCCAAAGGATGAACTCTGCTCCCAACACTGCTTTCTTGGTAGTATGAGGTCTCCATGTCCCTCTGCTTCTCTCTTTTATATCTCAAAAGAGATTGGCTTAAGACACAATCTAACCTTGTAGATTGAGCCCTGTCTCATTAACGTAACTGCCACTAATCCCACCTCATTAACATCATAGAAGTAGGGTTTACAACACATAGGAAAACGACATCAGATGACAAAATGGTAGACAATCACATAATACTGGGAATCAAGGCCTAGCCAAACTGATATTTTTTGGGGACATAATTCAATCCATGACAGTCTCTCAACTTTCTTTCTTCAGCTTCCTTTTTTTTTCTTCTCTTTTTTGCAAGTCCTAGTTTTCCAGTACTTTTCCATGCATTCTGCCTGAGTACGCTAAATGCCTATGTAAGCCCACAAGTTACACACCTGATTCCTAACAGTCCCAGTGCAACCCTACTCAGTGGGGCCAAGAGGATGTCATTGAGTATTATCAAAGCTAGTAGAAACTGTTTATGCTTTCAACAATCTATTTTTGATTCAAAAGACGGATAAAAGCAGAGGGAGACAGGTAGGTCAACACAAAAGCTACATACAGCTGGGACCCTGGGAAAGCCTGGTTTGATTTAAACTCTGGGAAATTCCTGGAGTGGCTTACAGTCGCCTAGAGAAATTCAATAAACAAATGTGCCCGAAATGAGGTGAGAGCAAGGCCTCTCTGCAGCAGTTATTTTGTAACATGAATTACACTCAGAGGGCATATCATAGTGAGGGGTACATACTTATCTATTTGGTTATACACGGGCTCATAATGTAAGGATTTTTAGCTATAAATGAATTAGTCTGATGTTTGCGTCCTCTTTTAATAAGCATGGCAGAAATATATCAGTATCTTTCTTCAAAGTACTGTCACTACCATCTCTAACCAGCTGAAGATGGTTCTTGGTGATCCTGGATCAGGCCTCTATGTATTTTTAAGTTATTCTAAAGCCTATCCACCCACTTGTTTCTTAATGGACTGACAGTATAGTACTATAGCTGTTGAGTCATATGCATCATTTGCCTTCCACATCTTTCTTTACCTGTCTGTTGAAATCCTCTTCATTTTCCATCCACATGTACTCTGCAAATGGGTTTTCCTTCTCATCGTGCCCACTTATCCCCTGGTCCTCTTTGGATTTTACACTGGGTGATGTATTGGCCACACTGGATCCATTCATTATGACAGAACCTAAACAGGAGCAAAAAGAAAGGATAAGATGAATACAAGGATTCAGGTAACATAAACCTGTAACATCCAGTTTCTTTCAGAAGCGTCTTAAGTTCTAAGTCGAAGAATTTAACTATAGATGAACAGAAATTGCTCATTTTTACTTCATTCTTTACTTCGCCCATTTTTCTATCATGGTATATACAGTCTGTAACTGTTAGAAAACCAACCATATCCTACAGTTATCAACTGTACAATTCTTTAAGATTACAGGAAAAAAATGTCTAGGCTCTATTAGCTTTCCAGGCGAGAGGTAAACCTCTCCATGCCAAATCCCAATGTTTAAATAGGTAGAAGAAATACATTCTTAAAGACCACTGTAGGCAATTGCCCCTTACTCTGATTCTCAAACTCTGTTTTTCTTTAAAATGTATTTCAATGGTATCTTGGGTGAAGGGTGAGACAGTACACAATACAGGAGAAACTAGCACAACTTGTACAACAAGGAAAGGTCATGGAAGCCCCATAGACACATCCAAACTCCCTGAGGGACTGAATTGCTGGGCAGAGGGCTCTGGGGACCATGGTCTCAGGGAACATCTAGCTCAATTGGCATGACACAGCTTATAAAGACAATGCTCTACATTCTATCTTGGTGAGTAGTGTCTGGGGTCTTAAAAGCCTGTGA